TACCCAGAAAACGTTGTAGCTCTCGCCGTGTCGAAGGAACAGGAAAAGATGCCATACCGCGTTCCATCCGCGAGCCGCATAAAGCTTGGTTTATGCTTGACGCATTCACTTTCCGCTTGGTGATGCGGCTCATGGATGGAACGTGCTTCACAACTTGCAGCGTTTATGGTTCATGCGGCTTGTCGCTGCGGTGAGCCAATATTCTCCCAAACTGTAGGGGGCAGCATGGAGCTCTACAGCATGCATCCAACACTACACCATAGTAGAAGTAGAAATTACTGTTGTTTACAACATGGCATTCCAGCATTTTTTAACAGCGTCCTCGTCTTTTCCGACAGTGCAAGCTATTTCTCTCCAAGAATTATTAACAACATGATGATCACGGTGATCTCTGAGAGCTGAATCATACAAATGTCTGTATTTACGAACTCTGCCATACTAGTTCTTGCCAGTCCGCCATGTTTTTCCACGTCCGACCATCTGCGTGGTTGGAAATTTTCCTAGGTGCGCGTTGCGGAAATTTTGGGCCATGCGGAGGCGCTGTGGAGGGGCGTGGTTGTTAAAATGACGCAATTTTGTCGCGCGGACCTTGCGGACGCGTCAAGCATAAACCAACCTTAACCAAGCGGAAAGTAAATGCGTCAAGCATAAACCAAGCTTTAGAGCTACAAAAATAACTCCCGGGCCGCTCCTTTTACTGGCTAACATCATATCAATCACTCTCAGACTTGGCAACACCACCTCCAGGGATTCTGATCCCCTAAACCTAACCCACAGTCCAAATCATGAATGCTGGATGAACTATTGATTTTAAATAGATTTGAGTGGTGTTTGTTTTGCTTGTTGTGTTTATATGATCGGTGGGCTGAAATAAAGCACCCATTTAAACATGAATTTTTAATCCTGAAATGACAATGAGACCTTAAAGCCTGAAACTTAAAATAGGTTTTCAGGTCAGTGAAAGTGAAACTGCACATACCTTTAGTGATGTAGCGTTATGGTTTATGCTCTTTTATGAAAGAGGAACCATTCTACATTGTAATTTGTGATATTAATTTTATTAAATTAATAACCAAATTGTATAGTTTTAAGAAGACTCAAAGGTTGTTTTCATCGATAAACTGACGATAATATCCGTGTGTCTGTGTTTCAGTTCAATGAAGAAACAAGTTTGGAAGTTAAAGGTTTTAATTCCTCAAATTAAACTAATGATTTTGAAATGACAAGCAGAGGAACATCAATCAACATTGGCAACTTTGTTGAACAATCTTTAACAGTTGATATTGTAAGCTTGCACAAATAGACCTTGTGATGAGTGTGTGAAGATTGAATATGAGGTGAGCTGAGTGTGGGTGTGCATCTGATTTTGCTTCAGGAAGAAACAGGTGTCTGAGTGAAAAGTGATGGTTTGAATAAACTTAGGTTTTCTTGGAAAAGATGCATCAAAACGCTATCTGCCGTGTTCTGTCTCACCGAAAATCGGACCCCCTGTTGGATCCGGGACGCCAGAGGATGTTCATCCAGGTGACACCAGCGGCTGGCAGAGGAGACGGAGGTGTCCGTGGCCCGGTCCAGAGATGCCCTCGGTACACGTTGATGGAAAAACGTTGCAGATGCGTTTAGTTAAGTTTAGTTCACTCAGAAATCAAAAGACTCGGTATGAGTCTGCGTTAGAAGTTGCGATTCAGCTATTCTGTCTGGCTGACAGGAACAGAGTGAGGGGGGGGGGGGGGGGGGGGGGGGAGAAACGAGCCGATCGGCTCTGTCCCCCCTTTGGTTTCTTCAGGTCCTCTCTCTTTCGTTGTCAAGCACGAACTGAATCATAAGACTGAAACTTACCAAAAGCCTTTCTCTTCTCAAAGCAAACGTGTGCGTCAGCAAATGTGTTTTGGAGTTTACTGTGAGAATCTGTGTGTGGGTGTGTTTGAGTGTGTGTGTGCTTGAGTGTGTGTGAAGGTCGTTAACAAACATCCTCAAACATTATTTAATTAAGTATGGATTCATTAATCCATTATAATTACCCAAAGCATAAGAATCATTCATTTGATTAAAACACATTTATAATGAGCAAAATGATAATGATTATTCTTTAACATTAAAATCAAGAAAGAAAGTTTAAGACTTGTTATGACTACATTTCCTGGGAACACATCTTCTGGCAGACTGCAGGTGGCAGATGTTATGGTTTCCAGCAGACTCTTGCAGACTTCATGTCTGCAAAGGTCTCAATCTGTGGGTGAAAGTTCTCAGCGACCCAGCTATTGACCCAGCCGAGTCAAATGACCTTTTGCACAGAAAACCCATATTTCCTCACGTTACAGTGATGTTTGGGTCAGGAGAATGTGAATTTACATGTGGGCAGATAATTTACAGGTGCTGGCCAGTAAATTAGAATATCATCAAAAGGTTGAAAATATTTCAGTAATTCCATTCAAAACGTGAAACTTGTACATTATATTCATGCAATGCACACAGACCAATGTATTTCCAATGTTCATTACATTTAAATTTGATATTTATAGGTGACAACCAATGAAAACATCAAATCTGGTATCTCAGAAAATTAGAATATTCTAAAGGCCAATGAAAAAATGTTTGTTTCTCTAATGTTGGCCAACTGAAAAGAATGAACATGAAAAGAATGTGCATGTATAGCACTCAATACTTAGTCGGGGCTCCTTTTGCCTCAATAACTGCAGTAATGCGGCGTGGCATGGACTCGATCAGTCTGTGGCACTGCTCAGGTGTTATGAGAGCCCAGGTTGCTCTGATAGTCGTCTTCAGCTCCTCTGCATTGTTGGGTCTAGCGTATTGCATCCTCCGCTTCACAATACCCCATAGATTTTCTATGGGGTTAAGGTCAGGCGAGTTTGCTGGCCAATCAAGGACAGGGATACCATGGTCCTTGAACCAGGTGCTGGTGGTTTTGGCACTGTGTGCAGGTGCCAAGTCCTGTTGAAAGGTGAAGTCTGCATCCCCATAAAGTTGGTCAGCAGCAGGAAGCATGAAGTGCTCTAAAACTTCCTGGTAGACGGCTGCATTGACCCTGGACCTCAGGAAACAGAGTGGGCCAACACCGGCAGATGACATGGCACCCCACACCATCACTGACGGTGGAAACTTTACACTGGACCTCATGCAACGTGGATTCTGTGCTTCTCCGCTCTTCCTCCAGACTCTGGGTCCTTGATTTCCAAAGGAAATGCAGAACTTGCTTTCATCAGAAAACATAACTTTGGACCACTCAGCATCAGTCCAGTCCTTTTTGTCCTTGGCCCAGGCGAGACGCTTCTTGCGCTGTTTCTTGTTCAAGAGTGGCTTGACACACGGAATGCGACACCTGAATCCCATGTCTTTCATGAGTCTCCTCGTGGTGGTTCTTGAAGCGCTGACTCCAGCTGCAGTCCACTCTTTGTGGATCTCCCCCACATTTTTGAATGGGTTTGTCGTCACAATTCTCTGCAGGGTGCGGTTATCCCTAGAGCTTGTACACTTTTTTCTACCACATTTTTTCCGTCCCTTCGCCTGTCTGTTAATGTGCTTGGACACAGAGCTCTGCGAACAGCCAGCTTCTTTAGCAATCACCTTTTGTGTCTTGCCCTCCTTGTGCAAGGTGTCAATGATTGTCTTTTGGACAGCTGTTAAGTCAGAAGTCTTCCCCATGATTGTGGTGCCTTCAAAACAAGACTGAGGGACCTTTTAAAGGCCTTTGCAGGTGTTTTGAGTAAATCAGCTGATTAGAGTGGCAGCAGGTGTCTTCTATATTCAGCCTTTTCAGAATATTCTAATTTTTTGAGATACCAAATTTGGAGTTTTCATTAGTTGTCACTTATGAATATCAAATTTAAATGTAATGAACATTGGAAATACATTGGTCTGTGTGCATTGCATGAATATAATGTACAAGTTTCACGTTTTGAATGGAATTACTGAAATATTTTCAACCTTTTGATGATATTCTAATTTACTGGCCAGCACCTGTAGATCTACATTAAAACAATTAGAAATTTATAACATTTTTAGTTGCACTGTGACAGATAAAAACTTCTGCAGGCTTTGGCTTCAATGTGTGTGATTTACAGTACTCACCATTGAGTAGTCAGGCTGGTTGGCATGGACATATAACAAGTCAGAAACTCATCAAATGAACTGTTTCTGAAATAAACTATTGTCCACAAATCTGACAAGAGTCAGGAAGGTGTGTGAAAAACAAAACGAGTAAACACACAAAAAAAATTGTATTGCAGAAATCAAGAAAATCAAAGGTTATTTAAATACAAATCCTTATTTTTTTTCACACCAAGGATTTGTTGTAAATACGTAAAATACAACAAAAATAGGCTTACAGCTGCCTGTACGGAAGTGGATTAGCGCCAATGAAAAGAAAAAATAAAAGTAATTCTAACTTTAATAGTAGCTCAGGAGGTAGAACGGGTTGTCCAATAATCGGAAGGTTGCAGGTTCGATCCTGGCACCGACCAGAGAATTCTGTTGTTGTGTCCTTGAGCAAGACACAACCCGCGTTCCCTGCTGGTGGTGGTCAGAGGGACCGGTAGTGCCTGTGTATGGCAGTCTTGCCTCTGTCAGCGAGCCCCAGAGCAGCTGTGGCTACATCATAGCTCATCCCCACCAGCGTGTGAATGTGTGTGTGAATGGATGAATGACTGTGTTGTAAAGTGCCTTGGGGGGGGGGTGTAGAACCCTAAAAAGGTGCTGTACAAATACACGCCATCAGAATTATTAAAGTTAGAATTCTGAGAAAAAAAAGGGCCAGAAATCTCTTTCTTCTTTTCTCCAGTGGACCCAACGTTCTTCCACATCTTCATGCCTTGATCTTCTGACAAAATCAAATTAAATTGAGTTTCTTTTTATTAGATACATGAAGTGTTAATCAAATACATTAAAAATATATTTCATAAACAAAAAAGTGATCCTTTTTTTTCTTTTATTGAACAACCATCCAATTGAAAGACCTGGTAATGACAGGAGTTTAGTCAGAAGAAATTTAATTGATCTTTTAATCAGAGTCCTGACCCTTTCGCCCAAATACACACCAAGTAAAACAGTTAGACTTTTTTACATTGTTTCCTTGAGAAGCTTGTAGCTCTAAACCTTTAAATCTACCAGCATGATCAGTCTTTCTCTTCATTCGTGTTTTTCTGGAGCCTTTTCCCGTGTCTTCTTGTGTAGATAAAGACTGCTCCCTTGGGTCTACACCAGCAGTACGCGGTGAACTGGGTTTTGTAGCATCTGTTGTCTTGCTGATGCATTTATCTTCACTAGGAACCTCTCTGGGTTCTTCAGCTAGAACCAGTCGTGAGTGTTTTGATTGGAGGTTTCTGCTGCTGATTCTAGTTTGACAGTTTTCTGTCCGTCTCTCTGTGGTTTCTCTTTGAAAATCAGCGACATGTTTGCCAGTTTCCTGTGTTTCGTTGCTTCTATTTGAAGCATGTATTAGTGTTTTAGATGTACCACTGGGTTTTTGTTGAGAGCGTCTTCTCTCCTGATGCATAACATCAGAATGAGATCTTGTCACGACTAGTTTTCTTCCTTTTTCCTGTTCATCATCTAATTTTCTCTGATCAACATGACGATTCTCATCACTCTTAGGGTTGCTTCTATACTTTTTTCTGTTTTCACTCCTGCTTCCGCTCCTTTCTGTAAACTTCTGATCATTTATTTCTTTAATCTCATTTGTTGCTACACCGTCCTCCTGACCGCCATCTTTATCAGACTCACACCCTCTTCTTCTCTTTGCCTTTCCACCTGTATGCATCCTGTCTTCTTCAGCTCCATTGCCTCCTCCACTTTGTTTACAATCCCTACAGAGTTCTTTACTGTCACGATGCTGTGCCCGCCTCTCAGCACTTTCTTCCCCTTTTTGTTTCTCATCAGTTTGTTTAATGCGGCTCTGTTGTCTGCCACATGGAGCAGGAACATCAGACCCTTTGCTGCTCTGATGAACACCTGTGTTTTGGTGGACTTTATCAGCCATATTCCAGACACTTGTTGTGTTTTCATTCTTCTGTGCATGCATCCCACTGGTAGCAGACTGCTCTTCGGATGTGCACACCTCCTTTGGTTCTCCAGGATTCGTTTCTACAGCATCCAGAAAAAAACAAAGACTCAGGCGCAGTGATGAGCTGTTTGATAGTCATTAGTTTGTTATCACTGAAAATACCTTACCTGTTTTTCTGTAATACAGAAGATAGGCGTTATCAGATCTATAGAAAATAAAAATAAAAATAAAAATAAAGATTAACCCCTTGTGACAGGGTGAGCCTCCTGTCACTGTGTCCCAATTGATCATGCTCCCTGGCTACTTGGCCACAGGGACGTCTTTGGCTGACCGGTTAGCGAGAGTTACTCTCACCCGGGAGTCTGGGGATCACATCCCGCCTGGGCCCTTGTTTCTCCACCTTGCCACACCCTCAACTGGCAGGTACACGAGGTAGCTGATATATTAGTCCCTATATCATATTAACCCTCTGGAAGCAGGCGTTGCAGATTTGCAACGTTAAAACCTAGCTACCTGGTTACTCCACACACATATTTCATGAGCATTTTTTAACTCAGAAGTACCCCTGAAGGACTTAGTTGTTTGTCCTTTTATCAAAACTTACTTTGAGCCTGAGAGGGTTAATGTTTGTGCTAATTATTAATGAAAAAATATAACTAAACTAAGAAAATTCTAGAAAAATAGGAGGTGGTTTTAATGAAAATGTTAACAGTAATTTATTCATTATTATTACATTATTATCATTGTATGTCATCATTACTTAATTATAACTTTTACTGTCTTAAATTAACACAAAACATGTTAATGAATAACTTCTTATTTTCTTATTTCAGGGTATCTGCAGGTTTAAGGGAGCCAAATTTCAGACTTTTTAAGACCTTTTTTAAGGCCACTTTGACTTTAAGCTATTTTAAAAATGAAATTTAAGCTACATTTCCAGCTATTGCGTGGAACCGGTAGCCTAGTGAACTAGACCAAATTCTTGCTTTGCAAAGTTTGGTCTAGGCATGCTCCATTGGAACCTCAGCAGCTCCTACCAGGACTCTGGCTAGCCAGTCACAGCTCTCTAGAGGGGTTTCAAACACATAAAGAGCTGTGATTTGTCCATAATGGTGGGCCAATCATAGTGCTCTATCTGCTTAGTGAACAAATCACAGAGCTTTATCCGCTTTGTGGGCCAATCAGGGCACTCTATATGCCTGGTGGGTGGGATGATGCAACAGAGTGAAACAAGAGTATGTCACATTCATTGTCCAGTGGAATGCGGAGATCATTTGAAAGACAACGGTAGAACCCGCCCCACAACCGAGAGCCGTCAATGGAGCATGGCCAGACTAAATAATACATTTATTTAGTCTGGCTTGCCAGGCTATGGAACCGGTGCTAACCACGTTGCGAACGTGGGATTAGCCATCCAGTTAACCATTAAACTTGCACTTCCCCATGGCGCAAGCTCCCATTAGCTTAACCAGCTAACGTGCTCATCTAAAAATAGCCCCCTTTCACAACCAACTGAATGTGTACGGTTCCGCTTACGCCAATATCATACACAAGAAATGCTGAACACTAACTAGAAATTTACGAAATTTTTATAGAAATAACAGAATCTTGTTTATTGGGTCTTTGGTAATTTACGACCTTTGGAAACTGTATTTAAGGGTTATTTGTCATTTTTACGGATTTTTAAGGCCTTAAATTTGGAAAAGCTAATTTAAGACTTTTTAAGACTTTTTAAGGACCCGCGGATACCCTGTATTGTTTGATTGTGACAGAGAATTTATTTGATTTGTTTACAAACTTGACATTTATTTAAATCTCTGAAATACACTGAAATTTACTCCATTTGTCGCCATGGTGATGTGATCATGCTGAAAGAGATCTTCCTTCGTGATAATAGATACTCCATTTCTTAGACTCTGTACACACATAGCCATCGTCTACAAAACAAAGACACTTTTCTAGGGTTTGGTTCATCATCCACATGAAAGTGAAGATATATGACGCTGAAAACGATAAAAAATACAACCAACTTGGAGATTTGTGAATTCTCCGCTGTCAGGATTTGTTTGTGGACCTAAATAACTGGGATTTTAGGTTCCACATCAATCAAGGTCTGTGACAAAAATGATCAGACATTGAATGTATGTGAACTGAGTTTACACTCGCTTGTTTTACAAACTCAATTCTTGCTCCGTGTAGAAGACCACACACGAAGGAGTTTAAGCACAGGTATTCCCTGCATCTACTAATTCCACTTCCATGTTTTTCAGCAGAGACATTTGGGGAACTACTGCCACCTACAGGCTTGATATGCCTATGAATGCACTCAAATGTGGTGGTGTGGACAAGAGTTCTTTTCCTGGATGAGTGGGGGTGGGTAGCCTAGAAATCTAGACCAACAGTAGCAAAAGATTTTACTCTGCAGATTGGTCTAGCTATGCTCCCTTGTAGCCTCAGCAAGTCCACCTTTGACACGAACACTTTTAGGTCTGGCCAATCTGTCAGAACCCAAGCCCCCAGACGGTCTCTCCCAGCTAACCGGCCTCCATCTTGGACCACATTTCCCAGCATGCTCCTCGCGGGAACTCCCGGCATTCTCCCAGTCACACCCAAGCCTATATATGGAAGACGCCGCACTGGCTCTTCACTCAGTCATCGTTTCATTGAAACCCCTGATCAGAGTTCTCTACCGAATAATCCTGATATCAAACATCTTTACCAAGCTCAACTCCCGTACCCAGTCGACCATCGTGACACAATCACATCGCTCTTAGGTTTGTTGGGCGGGCTTACCACCAGAGTTGTGATTAAAAAAAAAACGCAAAGACAACATCGGCTCAGAAACAGCACTGGTTTGAAATGGCTTTGGCATCAACTTTGGAAGATTTAATCGTGGACCTGTCTTTGAGACATGAGCCGATAGAAGTACTTAAGTCCTTTATTTAAAAAAAGAATGTATTTAATTCTTTTTTGTCTTCAAAGGTGTATGGAGGACTGCCCCGTTGACTGATTTCCATAAATACGTCACATTGTTTGCTGCTCCAATTGGTCCTAGCACTGTCCAAATGTGTGTGGAGACAGTTTGAAGAAGACAGTTTGAAGAAGACCATAGATTCTGCCCCACGACTGGCTATTATATATTGGAGGATAAACTTACACTATCTGAACTAATAGCTTAGCATAATCGTCTAAGCAGCCATCTTGTTTTACAGTACAGCTCTCAGGAAGATTCATACCAAATTCCTGGGCGTTTCTCAATGCCAAGGAACCATGTCTTGACGTCTTGGCCCCGCCCCGGTCGCTAGGAGATACGTCATCAGGAGCTGCCAAGATGTGTTCCAATGTTCATGTTCTACCGAGGCGTGTGTTCTCCGTTTGTTAGCTATTTAGCTAGCTGAGCAAGGATACACGGGAGGTGTCTTGTAGCCTAGCCTCTGTCAAAAATTACCCAGAATACACTGCGGTATTTTCAAAAGGATGGCGGATCAGAAGCCGGCAGCTACTTCTGGGGCAAATTTCAAGTTTAAAGGTAAGTCAACTAATTAAAAATGTTTTTTTAGATCCAAAGAAGTTATCTATGGTTGGTTAGTTTCTTAGTAGTTGCAGCTTTGGTGGCTAGCGGGTAGTAACTCACTTATATATTTAATTTAACAAACATATACACAATTAAAAAAGTAAAAGGCTCGTTATATATTTATGTTGAAACTAATACATATAAAATATAACGTTATCTCCAGTGTCACGTGACGTTACGTGACCGCCGTGGAAGCCGCGGTCACGTGATGCAAGTCTGTTCCATTTATCCGTTTTCTTTGACCAATGAAGGACAGTGTCCTTGTAAACAAAGGTGTCTGGCCTCGCAAAACAAGGCGCCTTGGCATTGAGAAACGCCCAGTGTCATTGAAACTCACCTTAAAATGGAAGCGTCGTGTGGAAACGGATTGCATTCAACCTGAAAAGGGAAAACAAATAACTTTCTACGTTTATGTTTTAGAGTGCAGTAGTTTTGGAGTAACAGTGATTTCTCACCGGAGTGACTTTGGCGTCATTAAAGTTGTACCATCTGTCATCATCCTGAAGCTTGATTGTTGCAGCATAATGTCCACCTCTCAGATCACCAACATGATCAACAGCCGCATAGAATTCATATGTCTGGTTCTGATCCACAAAAACAAAGAGAAAAAGGTCATTCTAGAATAAAAGCTAAAAAATGAAAATACCAAAATCTACAATGGAGATTTACTTCTAGAATCTTTAAGGTGTGAGGAATTTCAACACAACAGTTGATTTTGATAAAGGACTTGTGATGTTGGTCATAGTCGAACCTCTTCAGCAGCAGAATCAGAACATCTGGATGGTCCTTTATAACATAGCTCTAAAAGAAAACATGCTCCCAAATGTTAAAATATGTTTATACCACCATTATTTGTTACAGATGAAAAGATCCGAGACGTGTTGTGTTAACTCACACTAGTAGCGTTGACTTTTGCCTCACAGGTGTCACAGTACATCTGGTTATCTCCACTAAACTCTGAGGCTCTCAAAAACGAATCGATGCCGCCATCCTGAAAAATGTGCCTTTTATTTTACTGATGAGAAAAAGGAATTTTTAAAGCAAAAGAACATCAAAGCTGTAGGTTTGAGAACTTTACTACTGGCAGTGTGTGAATAATGGAAGGGCCTTTCAATGTCTGGAAAAGCGCTATATAAATCCAACCCATTATCAATATTATGCTTTATTCCCTTGAGTCTTTTAAGTTAAATAATGTAAAAAAAAGTTTAAGAACAGAAGTTATGACAGTGCTTATCTCTGTGAATTTATAAGTCAATCGTTTTATTCCAGGAACACTGTTCTAGCTTGAATGTGTTGGATCATTTCTGGTAACCGTGTCTTATCAGTTCCTGGTTGTGTGACCAAGCAAAGGTCATTTAGACAGCATCTTAAGACTTACTGGAAGGAAACCTGATAAACAGCCAGTGTAAACGACGTATTTACAGCTAAGAAACGTTCATCATCTGTTCTTTAGACAGCTGGCAGATCATCAATAGCAGCAACATTTAGATGAAACGTTTGTATTTGTGCTACAGAAACACACTGAGAAGCTCAAAGTGAGTCTGATTCTCACCACGCTGTAGTTCCCACTGGAGGAATCTACCAGCTCAAGAGGAAGATGCCAGAAAGGTCCATCTGTGTCGTTCTGTGTGCCACATTCAGAACAAGTGGTTCTGTGTGTCATCTGACCATGGAAGATCTGCAGAGATAAACAAACACAATCCTATAAAATATTTTCAGAGCAAATGTCTTTGTTGATTTAATAAAGTTTTACCTTTGCTGCATCAGGACTGGTTTTACTTAAAATCTTCTCAAAGTACTCTGCAGCATCCTGGAGTTCATTGACTGCGAGGCAAAAATAGAATTACTCGTGTGTATTTATTCAATCAGGTAGGCTATAATCATTTACTATGATGATTTGTCGAAACTGTTATAAAATGTTTGTATTTTATTAGCCAGAAAACATTAAAAGTGCTTAAATAAAAAAAGCTAAAAAAAAGTAAAACCATGTTGAAATACCTTACCGTTATTAATGCTCAGAGCCTTTAATATTCTGCGTGTCTTAGTTTTCCGTTTCTGTAACTCAGTGAACAGATGTTTAAGATGGCGATCGATAAAATCTGCACCAGGATTCTCCCCTTTTGTTCTAAACAATCAGAAGTCAGCTGTTACACAGGGGTCATTCAAACTCATATTAATGAACCCAGAACAACAACCAACCTGATCACAGCATCTCTGAACTCTTTGGTCATGAACAGAACCTGCAGGACGCTGTTCAGGTAACATGTTGACCCAAGGTTGATCAGCCCATGGTACTTAGCTGTCGGGAAGTTAGGTTAATTCAGATGTAGATAGTAAAAACATTTTTATTTTAATGTTGTTGACTATAAATGGACTTCAATCAAAAAACACAGTCAACTTATTACTATACAAAATGAATATTGTTGTACGGCCTTAGTTCTGATATATTTGCTATTGACAGTATGTGTATACTCATCGTGGCAGATGGCTGCTTATACTGAGCCAAGATCCTCTGGAGGTTTCTTCCTGTTAAAAGAGAGTTTTCCTCTCCACAGCAGGTTCAATAGCGACTCCAACCAGAGAATGCTGCTACTGTGTCCTTGGGCAAGACACTTAACCCCCCTTGCTGCTGTCGAAGGGACCGGTGGCATCAGTGCTCGTCAGCCTCGCTTCTGTCAGTGTGCCCAAGGGCAGCTGTAGCTACATCGTAGCTCATCACTGTGTGAATGTGTGAGTGAATGGGTGAATGGCGTATTGTGTTGTGAAGTGCCTTGGGTGGTTGTATAACCCTAAGAAGGGGCTATATAAATACAGGCTATTTTATAATTTACTATACTGTATTGTATTGTATTGTATTGTATTGCATTGCATTGCATTGCATTGCATTGTATTGTATTGCATTGCATTGCATTGCATTGCATCGCATCGTATCGTATCGTATCGCATTGTATTGTATTGTATTGTATTGTACTGTACTATATTCTATGTAAGAAATTATTAAAAATATTCCTGGAGCTGAGAATAAACCATCCATTGCCAACTGAGCTGACTGGATATTGAGCTGAAAGGAATGCACTTTTGTTTCAAAGTCGACGTTATTTATTTGTCTCCCTTGGGAGAAACTTGGCTTTAGACAGAGGGTTACACTGCACCACCAAGATCCACAAAGGGGTCACTTTGGTTTGAATTTTGTGAAGCAAGCACGGAAGTGCCAAAAATTGCAGTTCCACTTTCATCCACTAGGGGCTGACACCAGAAGTGAGCAAAATATTGACTAGATCACAGTCATGACAATCCTGAGGAAGGTGAATGTTTTTGTAACTCTTCCATTTAGGTGTAATTAGAGGCTTGGAATTATGATTAGTTAGATTGGGATTGAAAGGTAGCATGAGCATCAGAGCTACGTCGAAGCTAGCACTAGCAGCTAACTACGGGAAAGGCCACATGTTGACTCTGAACTTTAGCTTTGTCCTCTGTGTGTTCATGTTTGGATGTTAATTCATAAAATTATTTGGACAAAGAGGGCAAGCCGTGATATTGATTGTGCTAAGAGATCAACCGAACAGCTTCATTTTTATCAGTAAGTAAATTTATATTTATGTACTTTATTTCACTGGATGAGAGGGGAAATGCTTGGTCAAATACGTTAGTGGGGTTGCTCGCTGGATTATGAAACTTGAGCAGGTGCCTGGACTCTCCTGTCTACCAGCCAGGAACAGTTGTTAAAGCAGGCGGCTGGCTGTTCCTGTTTCCCCAGGCAGCCGAGACGCTAGCTGCTTCGGCTGTAGTCACGCTGGTCGCCTGTGGATCGCTGAGGGAGACCACAGAAACACTGCAGCTCAGTTGATGCTGCTTCATTTTTGAGTTGCTCAACCGCATTTTTCTTGCTAAAAGCATCCAAAAACCTCAGTTAGCTTTGAGTTAGCTTCGGTTTGCTCAGGTAGATTGTTGGTTGAATGTGGGGAAATGCTGTGCATTTTAACATAACACTTCTTGGTCAAAGATGGGTTGAAAGAAAACGTGTTGGTGTGGCTGCTGGGTAAAGTATCTAGAGCTAGGTAAGCTTTAGGGCATCGCTAGTGGTAAAAAAATCTACGAGGTAGCCGTTGTACAAGGGTTGCTGGGTTTCTGTACAGTCTTTCCCTTCAACAGCAGTGGCCCTGCGCTCAGAAACCTGCAAATCTGCCTCTCCTGTCTCCCGGCTGGAAGTGCCTTCACTTTGGAGTAACTCAACTACATTTTTCTCGCTAAAAGCACCCGAAAACCTCCGTTAGCTTTGGGTTAGCTTGTAGCTAATCTTCCATTGATCTCTGATCGTGGCGGAGGAGCGGAGTATGAGCTGACGTAAGCGGCCAGAGTGCAGTCTGAGGTTCTGCTTGTATTTTTACATTTCATATTAGAGCTCCAGAGGCAAACAGCAGGATTACAGCTGCACAGTTTGGCTGCCCTGGAGCTTCTGTCTTTGCTTTAGGGGTTAGCTCAGGTAGCTAGTAGCTACATTGGTTCATTTGCTCCCACCCTCAAAGCCACATTCTCAGCTACATCTGTTTTCCAATTTTTGGATTTTTTGGGTGTGGCAATACATGTAACATAAGTACTCAAGTTCAAATATAACCAGATAGAAGACCCCCCTAGGCAACGGTGTGTTCTAGTATCCAGGGCCAGATTAACACTTCGTTGTACCCTGGGCAACAATATTCAAGGGCCCCATCATCACGACCCAAGGATCACCATAATATGGTCACATACAGAATATATTAATGTAATATGCAGTAAATATACTCAATACTTGAATGCCTGACATCACGTAACCTGCTCAGGGTAACCTTTGACCCACCTTGTGTGGACTGACCAATGAGGAGAGGGTCTTAACTTGAGGTCATTTGGCCTTGGCCCCCAAAATGTCTTGAAACAGCCCTGGCTGTGTGACTGAGTTTTGAAGGTGATCTGAACTATCAGATGTATAAATATTACATGTGTATAACTTTTTGCTTTATCAGGTAAAAACGTGTAGTGGAGATAAATCTATCTACTTTTTACTTTTCAAGTTTCTTGTGTTTAACGGTCTGGTTGAAAATGGTGTATTCCCTCAGGGGGAGAACAAGGCGGATGCCTCGTCTGTACCTGAACCTGCCGAACCTCTGGACGAGCTGGCTGAGGAAGGAGCCAGGACCCCTACGGCTGGGCCAGTGGACGAAAAGCCCCCAGCCTCTCTTCCACGTTTTGTGCCGTTCTCCCCAGAGACAGCACCTTCTAATGTTAGTGCACGCTTAAAGGTACGTCTTGTACGGCTAGAGCTTGAAGCAAGAGAGAAGGAACGCAGAGATGAACTAAATTTCCAGTTGAAGTGTCGGCAAATAGAGGCTGAAACCACAATTAAAATACGTGAGATGGAGTTGCAGTCTAAGAAACTGTCCCCTGAACTGCCTTCTTCTGACAAGGATGAAGAGGACGAGGGTAGGGTGTCTGTTAACCTGTCCACTACTCCAGCCCCTTCCTCGTTTGATGTAGGAAAGAACATCGTTTTGGTTCCTCCTTTTCGAGAGACTGAAGTGGAGGCATACTTCTATGCCTTTGAGCGCATTGCTGTTGCTCTGCATTGGCCCAAGGAAGTTTGGTCTCTTTTGCTGCAGTGTAAATTGGCGGGTAAAGCCCAGGAGGTATGTGCAGCGCTGTCCATGGAGGACAGTCTTGTGTATGACAAAGTGAAAAATGCCATCCTAAGGGCATATGAGTTGGTGCCTGAGGCCTATCGGCAGCGTTTTAGAACCCAAAGGAGGACAACCACCCAAACCTTTGTGGAGTTTGCCCGAGAAAAAGAAATGCTTTTTGACAGATGGTGTCAGGCAAGCAAGGCTACAGACTTTAACTCACTACGCGAGTTGATGTTGCTGGAGGAGTTCAAGAACTGTGTTCCCGAGCGAACGGCATTATACTTAAATGAACAAAAAGTGAACGTCCTCCAAGAGGCAGCTGTCCTAGCGGCCGAGTTCGCTTTAACACACAAGAACATTTTTGTGAGCAAGTCTGATTCTTCTCCTCGTGATCAGATTCGGAAAGAGTTTAAACCTCCATACCACCCAGCCAAAGGTTCCCAGAGTTCTAACTCAGAAAGACAATGTTTTTTTTGTCACAAAGTGGGACATATAGTTTCTGAGTGCTGGGCCCTTAAACGTAAACAGGTGCCTCAAGGACCAAAGCCAACTAAAGGTGTTAACCTGGTCAAAACGCTTGGGCCCTCACCACTGCCAACTGCTCTGGAAGAACCTGATGTATGTTTTAAACCTTTCATCTTTGATGGTTTTGTCTCTTTGACAGGTCAGCAAGAAGATCAGAAACCAGTAAAGATTCTGAGGGACACTGGTGGTTCCCAGTCATTTATTCTGTCTGATTGTCTGCCCTTCAGTAGTACTTCATCCTGTAAAGCCAGTACAGTAGTACAAGGGATTGGGATGGACTATGTACCAGTACCATTACATCAGGTATTTATAAAGTCAAAGTTGGCTTCAGGTGTCTTTGATGTGGCTGTAAGACAGTCATTTCCTGTCGCTGGAGTTGATTTCATAATGGGAAATGATATTGCAGGGGACAAGGTGATTCCTATGCCTGTGGTGGTGGATAAACCGAAGTCCCTGTTAGAAGAAGATGACCTGTTGCGATCCCATCCTGATGTGTTTTCTGCTAGTGTCCTTACTAGGTCCCAGGCTAATAAGCTGGAGGACCTAAACTTGAGTGATTCCCTTTTAGGATCGGCTTTGATAGAGGACCGGCTATCAGCTGCTGACCCTTCTGAACTCGAGCCTGTTGATCTGAGCCCAACCATTAACCCAGAGGATCTTTCTCTACCAGTTTCACATGAGTGTTTGAGCAAAGCTCAAAAAAGTGATGTAACACTTTTTAAATGTTTTGAAGGGGCACTCAACAAAGATAAAAGACTGTCACACCAGTTTTTCTTTGAGGATGGGCTGCTCTTAAGGAAGTGGGTTTTGCGACCAGACCTGCAACAGGAAGGTGATGATGATTGGGGTGTTGTACACCAAGTGGTCATTCCAAAGGGCTACAGAGAAGAAATAATGCATCTGGCACATGACCACCCTTGGTCTGGTCATCAAGGGATAACAAAAACTTACGACCGCATCCTTCAGCATTTCTTCTGGCCGGGCTTGAAGAAAGATGTTGCCAGGTACTGTAAAATGTGCAAGGTTTGCCAAATTGTGGGAAAACCCAACCAGGTGGTACCACCTTTTCCCCTTAGTCCCATTCCTGCTGTTGGTGAGCCTTTTGAGCGTGTTTTAGTGG